CCTGGAAGTCGAGAATCAACGACACTAAGCGAGACAATCCATTCCAGAATTTTCAAGGCGATTGTGTCCGTTATGCCACTTGGCACCTGAAGACGAGCTCCATTTTCTCTTCCACTGCCAAGCCTACAACACCATCCGTCGAAGCCACTCTCGTATTTTTCAATGTCGCAATGCGAAAGTACTCTTTGCTACAGTTCCAGCTTGACAGCTTGCGAATACACTTCGTTTGATGTATTACCATCGATTATCACTTTTAGGCAGCGAAATTTCATAGTTCGTACATTTAGTTTGTATTCTCCTTAGATTCCAATGAAGCAATCACCGACACTGCTTTGCTCAGGCAAAATAGGAAGCTGATAGCTACCTCATTGCCTTGTTCTGTAAAAAATCATGATGATGATGGTGATGATGAATCTTTGCACAGTAAGTTTAACTTGGTTGCATGTTGTGGCATTGTATACAGTGCGCATGATTGGCTTCAGTAAATGAAGTCTCTTGAATTTGAGACTGTTTCGTACTCTGGATATTCTTGGGATTACCAACACTGTCAGTGTTTGCAGAATGTTGACAAAATATTTAACTCTGAAATATCACTTAATTAATTTGACCCGAGTGTAATTTATTGGGAAAAAGACAAAAGGGGTTCCTCTGTGAGATATCTTGACAAAAGGAGGTCCTCTGTGACCAAAGGGGGTCCTCTGCTGGGGTGCATTTGACAAAAGGGGGTCCTCTGACCGCCGCTGTACATTAGGCGTGTTGCCAGACCGGCGCCAGACCGACGCCAGTATGGTGCCAGGCTGGACCACGGTGCTACTAGGGACGACCCTTCTGGGAGGGCGCAAGGAGCACGCAACATTCGGAGCTGTGGAAGTCATAGCGCTTGGAGCTGCGGGGAGAGCAAGCGGCGACCCAAAGGGTTGCCCCTAGTAGCACCGTTGTCCAGCCTGGCGCCATACTAGTGCTGGCATGGCGTCGGTCTGGCGCCGGCCTGGTGCCGGTCTGGCAACACGTCTAATGTATAGAGGGCGGTCAGAGGCCCCCCTTTTGTCAAATGCACCCCTGCAGAAGACCCCCTTTTGTCACAGAAGACCCCCTTTTGTCATTTTCCCTAATTTATTTCACTGTCATTGCAATGCATATCACTCTTTGTGCTTGTTTGAAATATCTATACATTCAGCACTTCAGGTACAATGAGCGCTCAATCAAGCGCAAATGCAGAATTTTATTGGTTTGCTATTTATAGGCATGCCTTATGGCTTTGTAAACTAGATATATTCAGTAACGCTCAGGCTAACGAACTCTCAGTTATTGCAATTGTAGTAGACAGCGATTCAAGTGCTCATTTGCGATTCCCATTGCAAGGTATGGAGCACAGGTGGCAAAACATATATGAAAAACCACAATGAAGCTCAATTGCGACAAGGTTGGGTCCCTATCTGACAAGCGCATGCCTCTGCCTTCCGCTGCAGACCTAGAGGACACAACATACATTTTGGGCAAATAGAACGTGAGCTGATCTTCCAAATAACCACGCTCGTCCGGCCGCGACAGCTGCTGTGGCCACGGGCCTCACAAGTCCCTAGCCATGGAGGCGGATACGGCAACTGCAAACAGTGGGCCCTCAGGCCCGCACGATTGCCACTGCAGCCACTGTTCTTGCTCAAGATTCCAAAAAGGCCACGATGACTAGTTACATTGACGATCGCAGATCCTACGATCCCCTTGACACGTGCAATCACTGCAATGGCAGCGAACCGTCTGCGGCTATACGGTACACGCCGGACCACAACCACCTCAGCAAATACCAAGGCGGTAGGGCTACGAGGGCCACTGCTCCTGGGGGTGTCAATCGATGATGCGCACGGAGCGCACGATTTCTAGAAGAGCCACGCAGCTGCGACGAGGAGGGGCGCCGTGAGAAACAACTTTGGGGACCACGGCAGCTGTAAGGAGCCCCATGGCGACGGTGGCTACAACAGTTATAGGGAGCCATGGCAAGTGTAGCCGATATGAATCCCATCGAGGGATGGATTGCTACGAGGCCATTAGCCGCAATGGGGTGTGGCACGAGAGTTACAAAGAGCAGAGTTCAGGACAGGTAAGTTCGGCGGAGACGGCATCTGCAATGAGTATGATACTCACAAATCGGCCGACAGCGATTGTGGCCATGACACATACGAAAAGCATCACTGCCACTGCGGACATGGACCCCGACAGCCTTTAGCTCAGAGCTTAACTGCGAGCCCTCTTGAAGGACACGCCATGGCTGAAATGAGACGCCACACCCAGAAGGGCCTGCGCGGTGCACGGTAAAGTCGAAGCCTATTTCGCTGTTGGTGGCCATGGCTACGGTCCCACGCAAAGGCTAAGAGTTGCAGCAAGGACGATACACACAAGCTCAACCTCACAAACAGGACAGGCGGGGACGGCTAGTCACTCACAAAGTGCGACGCGAATCGCGACGCCGAAAAGGTGACCGCGCTGGCCAAGCGCACTGACGCCGAAAGACATCTCTTGATGCGAGGGAAGCAGGAGCCGCGATGTGCAAGCTGAAAGTAGGGGGAGCGTTTCGGACGATCAAATTTGGCAACTCGTTGTTTAAAACGAAAAGAATTCATTGTGACGATTGGGAACGTTAAGATACTGCCCTGTACGTATTTCAGGGAATGCACACTGTCAAAACGGCAGGCGTAAGAGCCACTCAAGGGTACACCTTGTGCTTTGCCACAAAGACCATGCTCAATTTTTGGATTTATTTTCCTGCACGATGGGCTGAGGTTTTGCTGCAAACGTTCCCCACTGTCTCTGCAGATCGATGTTCCTTCGCCTTCATGAGCTGCATCCCAAACATGATGATCTTCAAATCATCAGGCACAGCACGCAAGCCTCCGGGCTAATTGCTTGGTAACCTGGGGGCCCGCTGAAAGGGATGGTAGCGTCAAACGGGCACGGCCACTGTATTTCGCTACCCTTCTGTCCTTGTGGCAGCTGGGCGCAAGGGAAATGCGCTCAAAATTCAGGGGCACGACAGTGATTCGGCTTTCAGTGACACCCACCACCACTGGCAAGGGGTGCATGGCTAAGATACATCAGGCACTGGATTGATGTAATCCAAGGAGCTTCTCAATCTCACCTGCCGAGGCACAACAGCTCAGATTTGAGCCTAATCAAGAAGTCAACGCTGCAGCCGATGGTATGGGCAACAGGGAACGACGTGGCACGACGTAATTCGCATGCGTTCGAATAATCGATCGACAATGCCGTGTACCCAGCAGTGCCTCGTATGGCTTCATGCCACAAAGCATTGTGCGCCGTTTCAGAGAGTGCCGTTGAGACCGATCCGCAAGGTTAACGTAACCCAAGGATGCGCTGCACGTGTCGCCCCAATACAGAATCCTGCACCCAGGCGGAAGGTGCTTCGGTTTGGGAATGCTCAACACCCAGTGTACGCTGAACCCAGAGATTTATCTTTGCGCCAGTCCTTCCATTCATCCCCTCTCCATACATGAGGCCAGCACTTGGTACACAGCAACAATACAACACAAGTTGCGGCGGAAACGGGCGATCATGTAAGGATTATAGCCCTTTCCAGTACAACAGTCGACGTGAATCAGCTCCCTCCCCTGCCGTAGCATGCACCGCCAGGCAGCCTCCTGCTCACCCAATGGAGCAAGGCACCCCACCTTTACCTTGCCTGACTGTTGCACAACACCTGAGGAAATCACAATCCATACAAGGCGCCGCCACCCGAGCCCGGCATTGTCAATGCACCACCAGTTATAGGTGTGCGGTCACCACAGCGACAATGGCATTCTATCACACCGGCACACTGCTCACAACAACGCACGTCATCCACCATGTGTCAATTTCTTCCTATCACACCCTCCCTATCCATCCCACCGTGCATCAATCATCAATTCAGGAGACAATAGGTTGGAATTTGCGAAGCACAGATAGGCGCCAATCGCCCAAGGCTGCTGCCATACTCGAGCGCTTCACAGCAATGGCAACGTTTGGCCCCAATGTCAAGAGTAACAGAAAGGGTAGCTGGCAGGACATGTGCATCAGGAGCGCCACGCAGACAGCTGCTGCTTGAAGTCAGCATCCAGTCACTGCTGGTTGGTTGCCCCATGTATTGCATGGCCCTTAAAGTACCACAGTGGCAACTCCATGCGATTGACGAGGGCCAAAGCCCGTTGGTGGAGACGTCAATACCCTCCACACGGGGATAGGAGGATCAATCCTCCTCTGCTTGGAACATGGCTTTAGCAGTCGTTGTCTGCGCATTTTCAGCCCGTTTTGAACACAGACACGACCCACCATGGGCCATTCGCAGCCGTATCTCAGAAATTCCCTGCTCTTCGGTGGTAGCACCCTGTTCTTTTGGTGTTTACATCCGGTGTTTCAGCATTGGATTCTGCTTTTGTTGTATTTTCCAGGGTGTAGTGTTTATATTCAGCATGCGTGGGACAAACAACGTTCCTGCAAAAGGGGCTGGGATTAACCAAAAAAAGCTTCAATACCAATTAAAGGAACGGGCTAGAATGCCCAAAAAATGTGCTGCAACACAGACAGCCCACAATCCAGAGCCCAACCAGAGTGGCGGTCAGAGAATTCTCTTGTACAAAGTCAAGCACGCAGCCGTATTGTTGTGCATTTTCTGATGAAATAACTCAAGATTCTACAGCTCAAGATACGTGAGCAAGGCCAACCAAGCCTTGTGCCCAATCAGGCCCCATTGTGCCGCTTCCCTCGCTTAGAACCCCTCCTCACATACAGGCCATGGCACCTTCGCAATCGACAACAGGACTGCCACAGTTCTGAGAACAAAAGCCTTTCACAGTCCAGGACCCAAGACTCAAGGTCGATACCTCGACGGGCTGGAGCTCTCATGACCCCCCAGCCACCAATACTGGAGAGAAATCTCAAGGATTCCATCAAACAATGAAAGAAGGATTTTACATTTCAAAGAATAACTGCGGATAGGTGAGTCTCGCCCATCAATCGCCCAGCCCGAACACCTTGAATATGTCCCCATGTACGAAGTCGTTGTCAACCACACTCACAAGGTACCATTCATCACGAATCTCTTGCAGGACCTTGCGCTCCTGTGACCCACCATCGTACAGAGCGCTCCACTCTGTTATCCACAAGTCAAATGCCTCGTCCTTCCAGACCATGAAGCTGCGTGGATCGACCACGGTTGGCTGCAAGATCTCTTTGCCTATCACCACAGACAAAGATTTTTCAGATTACGCACACAGATTACATTGGCGAGCCGGGTGACCACAGACTTGCTGGATGTCATTTGCGTTCCCCTGCATGAAGACTTGCATAGAAATAAATGCAAAATTTTGCAATTCCACCAACAACAATGCATCTGGGTCCAGCTCCATGCTTTGCACAAACACAACAAGTTCCCGTGCTTCCGCTGGTTCACCTGGAAAGACTCCCCACGTGACAGCATTCACATTCCCATCGTCCAGCGTGGTGTGAAGCTCTCCTTTTGAGTTCACGGCCATGTAGCTGATGGATGGGGCACTGTTCAGCTGTGGTTGCAATTTAGAGAAACCCTCAGGTGAGACAAAGAATTCGATGTAGGCCTTTTGGTACACGTACCTGCACAAGGAAAGACCACATATCCAAAAGGCTGCAGCCATACAGTCAACGTCCCCTTGGACACGCAGCTGTTTGCCAGATGAAGATTCGTATCAGCAAGGAAAGAAATATTAATTGATCATGTTCCGAGCGGACGAGGCACGTTAATAATGCGGAAAAGCATTCAGATCAAATATGCCTATCATGGACAACAGGAGAAAGAAACAAAAAGTGGTAGTCCTTCACAAAATGGCGGAAAATCGCAATGGACTTCGTACTGTGACATACACACCAAACTACAAGAGACTTTGGCGGGATAGAGGAGCAACAAAGCAGCAAGAATGTGGAGACACTGATTAGCAACAGGGTGCCTGCAGGCAGCACAATCTGATAATGAAAGAGCAAGACACTTCGCAGTTATCAAGGCAGACAAAGGTATCCAGCTCAAAAAAAATTCCAATGGCTGTGTTAGGCGCCACACTCACCCCCCTGGTCCACCCCATCCAAAGGTGCTGTCTGTTGAAGGTGCACCATTCACCCTGGGCTGTGAAGTGATTGTGAGGTACCCCTTCTTGTTCAGCTCCTGCAGCTTTGGCACAAGTTCTGCTGACTCTTTCTGCATGGAGTCCATCTCATTCCATGGCAGAATGTTAATCTCACCCTTGCAGTAGTTCACGAAGACTTGCTTGACATCATCAACACTCGACAGAACATCGCCCCATGCCTCTCGAGCTTTTTGCGCCCGTTTCTCACTGCTTGTGTGACGGCGCATGAACTGGTAGTCATTGAGAGTGCCGTACGCAGGACTCTGAGAATCGCCCCACCTACACACACAAAGTAGATTGTCTAACAGTTTGTGGCAAAGTGGTGCCTATGCATCAGTGAAATAGAACGCCCAGCAAGAACCAAAACACAAGCCATTCCTCAAAGCCCCCTCCCGCCAGTGCTTGGATCCCAACAGGAGAAGCCCTTGCTCCCAATTCTCTTGAACAAAGTCCCAACCATGCCAGGAAAGTTCGTCCCCAAGGCGAATCGGACCATAGGCCTGCAACCATATTGTACATTCTGCCAAATCAGTGGCTGCTGCATATCTCGATGTAGCCACATTTTCCAGACTGCAATCAGTCAATCGTTTTGCCAGGAGCAAGGAAAACTGCACATACTCCTGTGTCACCACACCACATCTCCACTTGCTGCCCAATGCCGAGTTCCAGGACAACTGGCCCTGCATGCACAGCAGGCAGGCATTCCTCTAAATTGCTGCATAGCACCAAACAGCATATTCAAGTGTGCTATCAGCTGCTGTATTCCTCCTCGCAAGTACAGGTGACCCACCTGCCACTGGGAAAAGCATCCCAATCAGCAGTTCTCTTGATGTAGCTTTTTGGTCTATTTGACCAAAATATTGGTCGCACTGCCTCCCCACTCCTTTGCACATTTGTTGGTGGCCGCCAGGGGAAATGCCTAGGCAGGTTGTCTCGATTCACCAATCCCATGTCTTCCAGGATGCTCACAGCACTGCGCTCCAAATTCAGTGTGTACATGTGCAGACCTGGAACCCCACTGTCCAGCAGCTGGCGGCACATCTCTGTGCCGAGCTTGATTCCATATTTCTGCAGGGCCAGTCAAGGGCACATCACATGTGTAACACAGCAATTGATCACTTCACTTCCAGCAGGAAATTACATCCGGTCCGCTATGTGTTGACAAGTGTGCTCTCCAGTCGCACACCATTGAAGAACATGCTGTTGTCCACATCCTATATGACTCGTCCCATATGGGGTGGGGACAGCAGCCTTCCAGGACCATCCCTTGGCTGTATCCAAGACACTGTTGCCAGTGAGTTGCCCTGGCTGGATGAAATGGTGATCCAAGCGATACAGGTCAAACAGTGATGCAAACAAACCCATTGGTCACACTCGTGCCCCTGTGCCCCTGTTAACCCCACTCCAAAAAGAACACCTCAACAACCTTCTGGACATGCTGCCAGCTGTGCACGCAACACGATTTAAAGGCCAATGAACGAACAACGAAGCTGCATCTAACCTTGACGGCTTCATCGTCGTCCTTGATCGACTCGAGAGCATCGGTTATCTTCTGTGGCACTTTGGTCTTGCAGAAGCTTGTCATGCGCTTGAACCCTCCATACGTCATGATGGGCATAATTCCTGTGCAAGCCAGCAGGACAAAACTAAGCTTGAACCCACGTGGCACACATGGGCATGTTGTTGGTCCAGATATCCTGACAATCACCTGATCATAATGTCAGAAAAAACTGCTGGTGGTGAGGTGCCCCAGCACCACTGTCAGATATGGATCGATAAGACTGCAGTCCTTACCCATGCACTAGGAGTTGGCACAGACCTCACCTGCGGCACTTCCAACAACAACACTGTAGAGCACTGTATTGTAGTTCTAGTTGAAGATTGTGTATGTTATGAACTGCGCTTGGCAATGCCTGCACACTCCAGCCCCATAGCTAGATAGACAGCATGCAGCCCTATAAACTGTACAAACTGGTTGCGAATAACAAAAGGAAGGTGCAGCAGTTCAGGAAAAGGCTGAGGTGCTTGAACATGTGCCAGAGAAATCAAGACATCAGCAGCAATGCATACCCACCTGGAAGTATAGGCACAGTGATTCCAACTGACCGGCAGTCTTCCACAAACTGAAGGAACACTCCTGTTTCGTAGAAAAGCTGGGATACGATGAAATCGCCCCCCGCATCGACCTAGATGCAACGCAAAGAAAGACTTTCAGAGTGAAGTACCATTATGTGCGTGTGCCATTTGCATCAGGCCTCCAAATATTCAGTGTGGGGATATCAAAGTACATCAAGAGTGGTGTCTATGCTTTGGCAGCAATGTACTATTGATTCTGCCAAGAGCTGCTGAAGTGCAAAATGGAGTGAGTTGATGCATGAACTCACAGCAAAGGCAGAGAGATTGGTGGTGTTTTGTCAGGGAATCCATTCTCTCCTTTTAATCATCACACGATACAAGCGGCAGATCACCAAAAGAGTTCTGTCCCACTCTGCTGAATTCCTTCCTCCCTGCAGCATGCCTGTAAGTCCCAGCACTCTTTGTGACAGAAAACTCCAGGGAAAGACAAAGCAAGACCTGGAAAGACAGTGCCCTGGTTGCGATACTTAACCTTTTGCTTCAGGTAGTGGATGTCCCTCCAGTAATTTTCTTTCATTTTCTCTTCATCGTCAAGAATGGAGTCCGGATGTGCCTCAGGATAGCCAGCGATCCCAATACCAAAGTAGTCTCCATACTCCTTCCGGATGTGCTTGATCAAATCAAGGGCGCATGCAAACCCTCCTTCTATGGGTGTGAAGGTGTCGTGCCCTTCTGGAGCATCTCCCCTGAGGGCAAGAATATTCTGGATGCTGCCACCAACAGCTATGCAGACCGAGTCCAAATACATAGTGCTCTATTGTGCCTCAGCAGACGCACACCCAAATGTAAAACTGCAGCTGGCAAGATAATATGCTTAGCAAAGATATGCCAGAACATTTGTGTTCACCCATTGTCTGCAGATTGCCACAGCACAAGCACCAGCACAAGCCACAGCCACAAAACTATCCTTCAAGCTGCAAAACATTCATGCATGTGTTAAAGATCGACCTTACCTCTTTGAGAGCATTGTTCAGCTTCTCAACAGGCATGTTGGTGCATGTTAGGTGCATCATCGTCTCCATGCACACCTATGCATATAGCATTCTAAGTTCATTTTTGCTATGGCAAACATTGCACAGTGACAACTGCGGAGTTGAGATCAACGTTGCCAAGAATGAGCAACAAACTAGCAACTGATGCAAACAAACCATCAACGCTGACTGCTTTGGAAAACAGACTGCCATAGTAACCTAGCCTTGCATCATCCTTGTGTCAGCCGAGTATGCATACCAGGTGGTTCCAGACTGCCGCAAGAAATGTGGTGCATACTTTCTCCATGTCAGACATGAAGGAGACAGCAGAAGCTGTGTTCTTGGTTGTTGCTTGTGAAAGCCACCTCTAGCCACAGTGTACAGAGTTTTGCATTTATGTGTCCACCTAAGCAAAACATCGTATTGAATGAAAGCTACTCCTTTTGTTGCATTCATTGGCAATGCTGGATAAAAAGTATACACAGCCAGTGCAGATACAAGGACGCAAGCAAAGGAGCAAAGACTCTTGCACTCTGCAAGGTTTCATAGCCAGTTCCCAAACAGGCATTCAGAAAGGGCAGGTCCATCAAGCCAGTAACTCGCAACCGACCACCATATCAACTTGTCAAGAAATAGAAGCACATATTCGCACACTGCAGTACCGTGGTGGTGTTGTGCCGGATGCTGTTTAAACACTCGGAGCTTCTTGTCAAATGTTCAGTTCGCCTGGTGCCCCCTGCAGCCCTGTTTGATCTTCATCTGGCACAAGGTAAAACTTGCTTGGAATAATTGAGACTCACCATGTTCTGCATTCGTGAAGCAATTTCCAGCGTGAGGTCAGCAGTTGAACCGCCAGCCCCCCATGTGATATCACAAAACAAGGGCCCAAAGGCCGCCATCCTGTCCATTCGATCAAACAAGTTCTCCACACCCTGCAGATACACATTTTCAAACTTGTTCTCGTTGTTCCAAACTGCTGTATATGAAGGCTGCCAGCATTAGTTGCCCAGATGTCCAAATGGGGGCACAGGCAAGGCAAAAGGAGAAAGACAGACATCATTGAACTGCGTCCAAATCAAAAGCATTTTCTTGGTATGTTCGCTAGGCCATGACGAGACCGACATCAATAATGGAGCCCCCACAGTGCAATTGAAGCTTCTCAAGGCATGGTGAAAACACAACGTCAGCACCACACAAAAGGCTCGCTGCATTGTATTGTACGCCGCTTCGCAGCACGCTTAGAGCAGCAAGCAGGCTGAGGAGAGTTGGTGACCATTACGTCATGGCCACAGACGAAGATTTGACATCAAGTGGTCGGGCAAGGACGCCGATCGCGATACTGCTGGTGAGGATAGGCAAGGATCAATGGCATACCCCTTCTGTTCGAGGAGGGAAATATTCGAAGGAGAAAAAAGTCTGCCCCTCCTTGATGCCGGCGTTCATCTTGTCAATGATCTTCATGGTTGTTGTTGCCGACTGGGCGAAAGGGGAAAGTATTGGCTATAGGCGTCAGGCGCGTCAGGCGGGTGCTACTGCGGCGTCTTTCACCCTTCAGGGAGAAGAGGGCGTGACAGAAAAGTGGCGATGGCGGCAGCCTTCCAGCCCGTCTGCTGCCGCCGGCACTTGGCGAAGTGGGCGGGAGGAGCGAACACACACGGCATCAAAATGGATTCCAAGTTGTCAGGCCATGAGCGTGCTGAACTCCACACCGCGGCACTGCGCAGTGGCCGTTCACAATCGCCTTTGGTCGAGTCTCTGTGAGGCTGTCAGTTGATTCGCTCACTGCTTTATGGTACTAATGAGGGCAGGCAGGATCGAGGGGTGGCGAACCCTGAAAGGGAATCGTACGCTCGAGTCCACGGCAACGGTTTGCAGCCGAGGCGAAGGGACAAAAGGAGTTCTGTCCCTTATATTCAGTCCGTTCGTCTACGTCCCTAAATGCAGTTCCTAATGCCTCATCATCTCTTCATGCGTTCAGTTGTTAGTAATGTTCAATCAGTTCTAGTTACAACAGTACCCTGAGTCTATCAGAGGTGATGATCGATCAATCGATTGTCTATCAACGGCGCAAATCGACCCGAGATTCAAGGGTGATTATCTTGAGACCGGCTTTCCAGCGGAAACTTTTTACCAGGCCAAGACAGACTTGGACTGGGATGGGAACAGAACACTGTCTTGATGGCATGAGCTGGTCCTTGAATTCGAGGCTTACCAGTCGTCCCTTCGAAGGGACACCTGCAAAATGCACCAGACATACTCCAGACTGCCTAAAACAGCATCTATCGATGGGGCAGTCAGTCGCAAGAACAAAGCTTAGCCAGGAGGAGTCAATGTGTCAGAGTGACAGGAAGGTGACAGTGCGGGGCATTCTAACTCAATTTCTTGACGATGATGACTCAATTTGGGCTGTCATCATCCTTGTAGAATCAAAACTCAATGCACTTGTTATTGCAAGCGGAGCGAAAAGTTTGGTTCACGCTACAAAACACTGCACAAATTCGTAAACTTCTTCCCGAGCAATTTTCTTCCCAAGTCTCGCATCGTGGCTTGTATACAATGGGTTTAACGCTTTCGTAGCATGAGCGCAGGCTGGCCCTCTAAACAGTACCTCGCTTCATCAGCGTCCTGAATGCATTCTTTTACACAATACCTGCTATGGACACGCCTGACTCGATGCAGAGAATATTGTGCACACAAGGTGCACCAACGCGTCCAATTAATACGGGTACACAAATCCCACACAATGGAGCAAAAGCAGTGTGCTAATTAATTGCCACAAACAAGCTATATATCACACCTGACTTGAAGACTAGAGCCCTATGTTACATTAAATGCTCTAGCATGCCCAGTTTACAAGGTGATCCATAACAACCACACGAATAATGTCTGTTAACTGTGGTGTGCAGGATATATCGACGTACATAACTATAGCAATTTAAAGTATGCTAGTAACACATGTTTGCCCTCGGCGCCCACGGCACACCGATCACCCACCACCTTCTGTCCTCATACAATACAAAACGGGCACACGGACGTTAGATTCGATGCGGTGTAATGCCAGGCGGTAAAGGGCTACGCAGCGGTGTGCTAGCATATCGCTTTGCCGTTGTAGTTCGACACTTAGCGAGCCGCGCTGACTAACGCGAGCCTCGCCTCTCTCCCGCATTAAATTGCTCATCTGAGGGACCTGCGACTCGCTAAAACGAGCCCACGCTGTCCGTGCGCAGCTCGGACAAGAAAGGGATCCATGGGCGAATCCATTGGGAGGAGCCACCTTGCCGATTCAGGGCCAACACCCGCACCTCGGCTATTTAAAGGCCAAGAGGCACGGCACCAGCCTTGCGCGCTAGGCAAAACACCCCGCCTGCTTGAGAACTGGTGCTCCCACTTTGGTTGAGACCGTTCTCACGGCGATCTTTTTGCTTCCCACCCACCCCCATGCATACCTAGGGGTGCAACGGATGACACCTAAGGGGGTACCACACTGAACGAGGCTTCGGGGATGACCCGTCCTCGCGCTTTTTATACGCCGCGCTCTCGTCAGGACTCGTAGCCGCTGCACCGGATCGTCCGGTGGCAGCGGGGGCCAGTCTGGGCTGGCCGGCGGGCCACCGGGCCCCGTGGGCGGCTCAAGAAGCGCTGGGGGGGACCCAGCGGTAGTGGGTTTCTTATTTTAGGTAACGGCTTTTAACTTTATGTCAATTTGAAACTGGGAATTGTGATCTGGATCTGGATGCTGGGCCACCATTTCAAAATTTAAATGATATTGGATGTTATGCAACGAACGAATGAATGGGTTTCAATCGGCTCCAAGGACCAGAAGGTCCCATCTCTGGCTGACCAGACTCGGCCCGACAAAAGAGGCCACAGCGCTGAACCGATCTCGAACAAATGGGCATAAATAGCGCAGAGTCCATCGTGGCCTTCAGCATGCAGCCCACTTCGTCTCGTTCCGCACATATTGCGCAAGTCGTAGTTCCTGCCTGCAATACATTAATGTGGAGTGGTTAAATGTATTAACAGACGCGCACTCGCCAAAAAGTACTAAACCCACCATCAAGGGGAAATGAAACATTTCCCCTTAGCGAGAAACCGTTCGCCCGCTGTTTTGAACATGTGGCATATAACACCGCAGTGCGGTGACATTATGCAAGTTTAGTCTTCTCATGGCAAGATTCATCAAAATGTTTTGATTAGTCTTAATGTACTGCAGTATGTCAATGCTTGTGTCGTTCCCAGTTCCCGTGCTGCGCAACAGTCATTCTGTGCCCCTCCAAATTCAACAAGCCCTGGGAGATTCATATCATCCCCACAACACAGCATCGGCTGGAGGATAACCCAAGCACAAAGCTCGCAGAACTCCACGCAGAACAGTGGATGGCTAAAACAAGTTCCAACTCATTGCTTCTGTACGCTCAGTGTGGCGACCATATATGGTGGCCGCGCCCCAACTATATTGTTTCAGGTCATGTTGCCCTACAGCACAAATAATGTACATACCATGATGTTTCTGTGCTGGATTCGCGCAGGCTTGGCCAAGATGTGGTGGTCAGCCACAACGGCCAGTTTCCAGCCAACAATGAATTCGATTTGCTGAATAAGGCGATGAATGTGATATGATCTGATTGGCGATGCATCCATCCATAACGAGTTTCCAGTGGCCAAGTTTTCATCGCGCTGGAGAGCTGGAGAGTCACGCCCACAGTGCCATTCCTTACATCAGTATGTTGAAATTTCGCCATTCTCAGCAGATAATTAGTGCAGACCCTGCATCACTGTGCTGATATCCGGAACCATTTTCAGGGCAGTCGGAAAACGTGAGACCAGGTGCTCCGGAAAGGTCGGACGAATCTTCACTTTCTTTCTTCTTGCATTGGCTTCCAGATATACATTTGCAAAGAGAGCAGCCAGTTGTTGGGAAGCGTTCTTGTAATGTGGGAACATCATGCCCAAACGATGATTCTAATGTTCTCCATCTAATCAGTTGATCTACAGATCAGTAGCACAACTCGCGATTGGCAACATCTATTTGCTGTCTTCCCATCCCGCCGCCTCAAGGGCCAGTGCATCCACTGTTGCCACCACAAAAACCACCTTGCCTGCATCCTAGCCTAGGACAATGACCACCCTCGTAGCTCATTGCGGTTGGAGCTGAAGAGGATATCTACAAAACCTTTTCTTGGCGCGATCGGGACATATTTGCAGCCAAATTATACTTCCATAGCAGGAATGCGGCTGCGGCCACAAGACTAGTGGTTGCAGGTGGCTTCAAAACTCTGTGTTTGTGCTCCAGGCACTGCAGCTTCAAATTCAGCTTTTCACGAAAAGGTGCACAGTCTTCTGCCTTTGGGTGAGCGTTCAACCGTGAGATTGACACAGGGCGCCTGTTGTCTCTAAAGTCCAAACATTTCAGGGCATCGTGAGCGCCACTTGTTACAAAGGGCAATTCATTGTGGGCCTATCAGCGGCACATCGCAGTAGATTCTCAATTTGTGCAGTGACCACGCCACGCCAGGCCGACAATGCCGAAAGTCAAGCATCCAGGCAGGCAAACAGCGTGGCAATCGATTGTCAAGCAAAGTGTATCTTGAAGCCGACTGGCAACGTCCGGGAAATTGCCGCAAAAAGTTGAGCGAATGCATTACGTGGAAACAATTGTGTACACAGTTCCATTGGCATGCAGGCCGCTGCTCAGTACATTCACTGGTTACAGCATCCACTGATGGTCGTTGGCACCGAGTACTTGGGATCCTTTTTGTCAATCCCCAATGTTTAAGGAGACCTTGAGCCCCGGTCAGCCGCGGGTGGCTGCTGTCGAGCATGTCGTCATCAAATCTGTCGTAGCACACGGGGTCACAGATCAGTGATCTGAGATCACGAGGAGGCACACGCGTCGGGAGTGCTCGAT